TAATTATGCGCATAGCATTGTAATTATATTTAATTATGTGCTATGTACGTATGTATAGTGTGTATTTAACTTCATCGTTTTCACTGAGACATTCATAATGGAATATGTGTACTAATTATCAGCCTTTAACTGTTACAAGGACGTTGAGTAAATGTAATTCTTTATAAATATATATACATGTACGTTGATATAATAGTTTTTGTGGTTTTTACATATCAGTACGTAAATTGCAATTTAATTCTGCCAAATTTACTATGAATTCGATTCGATAGGTCCAAACATTTTTCAACTAAATATTAACCGGTATTTTTGACGTTAAACACTAAGTAAAATATTTAATTAAAATATTTAATGAATTTACCGTCAGTTTTTCCGGATTTGTGGTTGACCATGAGAAAAACTTTAAACTTCCAAGTTCAGTCTAGACGCACATATTAGGCGAGCGACTGCTGTGGGTGAATGGAATGATTGGTTGTGTGGCTACCGGTCGGCGAATAATAAGTTCGAAACACACATTTGACTTATACTCAATATCTTATAGTTCTGCGGAAAATATGTTAAACTGAAACCGAGCTTTTGTAACAGCTTTTAAATTCCTGAACTGATCTCCAATTGGCGCCAAACATCGATAAGGAAGAATGACTACCGCGCTGCTGTGAACTCGGCTATAACAGCATAAGCGAAACGATCTAAGGCAAAACAATATTGAGCTATTAAATCTCAAGTTTTAGCTAAGAAAGCTTGATGGCCGTTAGGTTGAGACGATATTTGTTGTTGTTTTAAAGGTTATCCAGGACCTGGGGTGGAAAGGCGTAAATTAATTGTCATCAAAGTTATATCCGTTATAGGCCCAAAAAACGAGCTGTTTCGACGGTTTCGGCTTATAAAGTTCTGTAAACGCATTGCATTTGTAATGTCGTGTTCGCTCCGGAATAAGTAAGAGATTAAGCGGCTATATTATCAAGAACAAAGTTGCGCAAGGATAACTATAGATTGTGGGGGCAACTCCAGCACTTCGTCTACAATGAATGGCGGTTTTACTCCAAGTACGCCAAATACTGGAAAGATGTAGGTGAATTAAAGATCCCGTTCTGATTGGCGTTCGTTGTCTGGTCGGTAAATTTTCAATAACGTCGACGTAATCAAGAAATGGACTCCTAATATTCAAGAAGGCGGCACCGCTCAAATCAGATAGGTTAGGTTAATCTGGTAGGCCAGTAAGGCCCGCATAAACCAGCTTGCTCCATTGCGATACTAGATGGTGTTCAGTTGCTAAGTCCAAGAGGAGTAGTCCCCTTTTAGGATGCCTTCACTTGACGCGAATTTTAACAGGCTCTGAGACCTCACTGGTCTTGCTAATGCGCGAAAAGTGCTCAAGAGATGCTCCATTGTTCCCTGGTGCCCTGCTCTAGGCATTTCCTTCAGTCTTCTCGATCTATCAGAAGAATGCTGCGGGCGTGTGTCGCTAGACATGGATTCCCATCATTTTCCTACAGTCTCGACTGCCAATACGAATTTTGTGTACTTCCGATCTACCGTTTTACACATGACTTTTGCAGTTTTGCACCCAGGTACCTCGTTTCATTGGGTTTTCTTTACCATGCTTCTCTCAAGATCATCGCATAGACAATCGTATACCAATGTTCATCAATGTTCGGATGTTAGTCACACATAATTCTTAGTCCGAAGTTTCTTTAAGTAAATTCTACTGTAGTCTGTAATTGTCCCGAAGATTTTGCTGCACAGTTTTCAGCGAAGAGGTCTATAGGACGCAGGCTTAGTACCAGTTCAAGAGCCGCCTTAGAGTTGTTCGTTATACACAGCGCAGCGAACTTCTGAACTTTTTCCATTGGCTTCCGGTAGGTGGATTTCCGTACGCCTGTCCTGAATTGTAGACTCCTAACCGTTATTAATAATAATATTAATATATGTTTAGCGTGCAATGAGTCTCCGCATGGTACTGGCCACCTCCTTGCATACCCTACCAACCCCACTCATCTGACACTCCTCTATCGTTGGTCCGACCCCGTTGAAAAAGCTGGTTTCTTGGGCCTTCCGTTAGATGACGTTGACGACAACATAGCAAATCCTTACCATTCTAACGCCGACTAGGTACTCGCTAAAACAACAAACCGTTATTAAGATGACATTCAAAGCAGATAAATGTAAGGTTGGTTGCTACGAAAAGGTTCCTTGTATGTTGTCGTAAACGATTTTTTGTATTATCCTGGGTGCAATCGGTCAGGAACTTGATTTTTGTGTTGCTGTTCTATTTTTCAGTATCATATTGTTTGAGATGAGAAATTTTTATGCGTTCCAATTGCGTAGACCTAACTGCACTCTTATAAGGTACATTGTATCCAATTTGTGAGTTTAAAGTTTTACAAATATATAGTGCGATATAATGCAATTTAAAGACGAAACGTAACATTTGATATTTAACAAATTTCAAATTTATTATATTTAAGAAATTTAATATGTATAGTATGTATATTAAAAACGCAAGTGTACGTAAGTATGAATAGATTATTTTGGCTTTTAAAGCTTATATTTTTAAGTTATTCATGGAATTATTCAACCCGTTATCAATGTCCCATATAACAAGTTGACCATCAACACCAGATGTGCTTATTTTTTTACCATTTTCTTTTTCACCAGCATACAAACGAATACAAGTTATGGCGTTTTGATGTATTGAATCAACATTAGTATCAGAATTTTCAGTTCTTAAGTTTCGATCCAACGATTGGAAGATACGCATAGCGGATATACCGCTAGACTCTTTCTTTTGTGATTTATCTAATTTAGCCGTTAGCACCAATTTTGAATTATCAACCAATGTATAGACCAATGGAACACAGCTATGGCCAGCCACAACTATGGACACTGGCGATATCCAAACACAAGAAAGGAAGGGTAGATACTGTGTTTTGCAACGTACAAATGCATTGCCATTAGTTGAATCAGCAACATTAATGCAACTATCATGACCAATCCAACAAATTTTATTTCCATCAGCAGAAAAGTTGACATCGTTTATCCAGCCACCACCTGAATTCGTTGAATTTTTAAATTCTGCCATGAGATTTCCTAAAGGCATGCGATTGCCCCAAGGAGTTGGACTTGGTTGATCTTCAATGTCTTTAATGTAAGCTGAAAATACGCGGACCTGAAATATATATGTAAATAGTTATTATGAATAGGCGTAACATATTAAAAACACGAAAATGGTTAACCTTGGTTGCACCGAAGTTATAATACCCTTCACAAAAATTTCTAAAAAAAACTTACGTGCAAAATTAATATAAACTTGTTAAGAGTATAAATATATATATTTTTAATAATATTTCTAATTTCATTAAAATCTAGGGACTTACTTTATAGTCGGTTGATCCAGCCACAAGCAATACATTATTTGGATGCCAATCTAAAGAGGTAACTGTCGAACGAATCGGCTTTTTAATATGCTTGGACACCCACCAGTCATTTTCAGACTCAAAATAGCACACCGATATCAGGCGTGCACCTGAGCCAACAGCAAATTTATTTTCTGCTGGCGACCACTTAACACATGTAGCTGCACGATTGATACGCAACAATACCAAAGTGGGTTTCCATTTCCCATCATCCCCTTGGGACCAGACATAAGCGTTCCGATCAGCAGCGCAACTTACAATGCGATTCGTATTTTTCGCCCAATCTATACCCATTACTCGTAAATCATGTTGATTAAGCACATCGGATAACTTCCAATCATTACGTTCGCGACTATAGATATGAATTTCATTGTTGTTGGGCGAAAGAGCAATCTCTATTTAAAATGAAAGTAGCAAAAAACTTAAAAGTTACTCATAAATGAATGACTAATAATGACAATTTCTTGAGTTCCAAATATTTACGTGAGCGATCTTTATTCCAAGCATGACAAGTTATTGATGCCAAAGAGCCTCCAAAGGTATAACGTTCAGACATTGTTGGTATAAATTGATAAATGCAAAGATATTTGTAATACTTTTAAATGTTTTTAAAAAGGTTAATCGCGGACTCTGGGCCGTCTACACGATTAGCAAGAAAATATGTTAACTATGACTAATATTAGTCCAAAAAATGCACTTGTACCACAATATCCAATGAATTTTTTATCTCACGGAACGTTTTTGGCGATTTGACAGCTAACAGTGCTGCCACTTTAATATTCACAAAATATTAAGAAAAAGTTTTCTCTGTCACTAGGAGTGGTCGGAATTTTCTTATGGTAAGTGATTTGAGCATATTTAAATTAATTAATAAAATATTTATTTATAAAAATTTAAAAGAAAGAAACCTTTTACCTTTATCGAAAGGTTTTTGCCTAAAATAAATTTGTAAAATGTTATATAAATTTCTAATCGATCCTAGCAATTTCAAGAAGTTGTGAATATCTTTATTCTACGTTTTACATCAGAATTTCAAACCTTTTTGTTGTGTTTTACTCAAAACTAAGGTTTTCAGTATCTCTTATAAATTCGAAACTGTTGCATTTATATTTACTAATACTTTTTATGTTAAAATTACAAATTAACCGATTTTTTTTTTTTTGCAAAGAACTACGTTCTTGTTTCAAAGTTTTCACAATAAGTGAAAAAATTAAATTTCCCATTTTTTTAAATTTATCTGTGAATACTTTACAAAATATTCTTCAAATGTAGTGTATCAAAACTATTGAGTTTTGAAAATAGATTGTAAAAAATTATAAAATTTTCCTTATTTTTCACGAATTATCCGTACAACCCCTTAATTAATCAAATTTATCAACATATCTTGCGTGAATAGAACGAGGCAGTCGCAGTTTTCACACAAGGACTCTTTCATTGCTCATTTCCGGCATATTCTCTCTGTCTTTCATTGCTCATACTCGAATATCGAAAATGATGTACCTTTTAACACCATATTATTTTTTATTTTCTTTTACTTTATATTTGACACCTATCAATATACGTTCTCTGTTTACAATTAGAAATGACAAAAGTATTTATAAGAAATGAGAAACAGCTGTTGAGTTCGTCATCAAGAGAAACAAATTTGGAATAACGCTAAACAATTCGAGGGCACACCTTCCACATTTTATTTTTAAATGGAAATCGTAGATACATATTACAGCAAAGATGAATATGTGGAGACTGTAGGTTATATAAAATTAAATTAGCTTAAGCAGAAAAATACACAAATATTCCCATTAACAGGCTTCTGGAAACAAGGTGAGCAGGCAGACCGTCCTATGCGGTTCACAAAATATTGTTCTAAATGGTAAAGTTGTTGTGCAAACCGGTGCGATAATTCGTGGTGATTTGGCAAACGTACGTACGGGTCGTTATTGTGTTATTAGCAAAAACGCCGTCATCCGTCCGCCGTACAAACAATTCAGTAAGGGTATTGCGTTCTTCCCTATGCATATAGGCGACCATGTTTTTATTAGTGAAGGTGCAGTTGTGTCAGCGAGTTCTATTGGCTCATTTGTGTATATAGGAAAAAATGCTATTATCGTGAGTGCTTGAAGTGAAATGTAAGTTAATTTCTTAAATACTTAATATCAACTTTAACTTTGGTCAGGGTCGACGTTGTGCGCTTAAAGACTGCTGCATCATAGAGGACGGTGCCGTACTACCACCAGAGACAACTGTAGCTAGTTATATGCGTTATACCGCTAAAGGAACCATCGAAGGAGGTCAAGGTAATCCAAATTTTGTTCCGGCGGCAATGCAGGATCAAATGGTTGATTATACCAAATCATTCTATGATCATTTCTTGCGAAATCCCCAAGCGGGTTGAAACTTTTAATTATTTATTTTAAGTATTTTGGTAAGAAATGTTTCAAAAATATCGTATCTAATCTCATTCAAATATAAAATAATAAATAGTTCTATTAAACAAAAAACACTCCAAATTAAATGTTGCTTCTGTAAGTCAAAACGACTATTTAATCTATTATACCAGTTTCAACTTCGTAAGCCGGGTGACCCATCTCAAATATTGGATATGTTAAACCAGTTCGCCGAGCAATGTCTTCAGCCGATTCTTCAGAATTATTTAAAGCTCGCGGATTTATGTTTTCGTTCATAAACAAAACAGTAGAAGTATTGCGGCAGTTGGAAACAGTTGCGGCTACATGTAAGGGTGTTTGATCCCCATCAGATTTCGCATTTACATCAGATCCATATTGCAGCAGTAGTTCAGCACATTCCGCATTACTCCATTTACAGGCTGAATGCAATGGTGTCCAGCCCATATTTGTTCGTGCATTAGGATCAGCTTTGTATTCCAGTAACAGCTTAGCTATGTCAACGAAATTATTATAACACGCACGATGTAATGGAGTATAACCGTCATCGTCTACTGCAGAAACGGCCTCTTTATCCAATTTCAATATATCGCGGATCTCATTTATTTTATTTTCATTTACTGCCCACAGAATCATTCTCTGTATGCTAGCTAAAATTTATAAATATTATTACTACGTAGTAGTCGTATACTTAATTTAATGTCATAAACTTACATTGTGGGTTCTTATCTTCTTCAATTAGGTCATCTGCATCATCATCCCAACCACTAACAAACATACCTCGCGGTATTTTTGCGTAACGTAACTTCTCAAGTTGAGATTGTTCATCATCAGAATCGTAATCGCCCATTTTAAGATCTACAAATGTTTACTATATAAGTTTATTTTACAGTAATCAGTTTATTGAATTATATAGTATTTTGGAGGCTAATCTGGAACTTCGCTATATTTGTAAACAAATAAAATTGACCAAACATCAATACACCGCGACAATAAACTCGAAATATATCACAGGGTGAACCATATCAACTTATCAACTTCGAAATTCGTAATAAATAACAATCGTAACTAATAACAAATATAGCACTAATAACTCTCCAAGCCATTAATTAAATACTAAAAAATAACTAGGGTTTAAAAAGTCAATTAATTTTAATTGGAATTCTCCCAAAACATCTATACGACTATATAATGCATTTTTAGCACGCCCTGTATTGACTGATTCGCATAATTTCATAACAAATAAAAACACAAACACAACAGACTTTTCCATCATTAGTTATTTTTTTAATTTATAATTATAAAAAAAAAATAATGTCGGCAAACGGAGTAAGTAAAGATGCACAAGGAAGTGGTGATCAAAGTTTGCAGGCGATATTTTCCAAGGGCTGGGAAGGATTCGAGGAATTAGAGGAAACTTCTCTACCATTCAACTCGGCAGAATATCAAGTAAGTAGGAGATCTTAACGATTTTACCGGCTCTTTTATTAACACTTTTATTAAAGCGCAAAGTTAAAGAGACTATGAAGAAATTTGAAGAAGCGACAACTATTGTAAATCAGATTGGTCTATTCAGTCCCAATGAGCTTATCGATGAAGTTTCTACTGATTCGTTGCAATATCTGATGCTTCCCTTCTATTTGGGTAAAATAGCACTAAAACTACAACAAGAAAGTCGTGATGAAGTACTCCAAATTGCTGAAGTATACTTCAAGTAAATCATAAACTAAGAACCAGTGAATTTGTCCTCACTTTGAATATATTTTCAGAGATTTTTTACAACGTTGTCAAGAATATGAGCTATGTGACGAGTATAAAAAGAATGCAGTTGGAGCAGCAGAAGGTGGTAATACGGATGAATTAGCGCAATTAATGCGTGCAGCCCATGCCCGCAACGACAAAATTGCACAATTCAGAAAAAAGAAAGAGTTGGATGAATTTGTAAGGAAAATGAAACTTGGTGTGCGCAATAAAAGTGTTGATGATGAAGTACGTAGAGAATTTTTCTTAAAACTACTCAATAAAAGTATTATCGATGCCACTGAAGAATTGGATAGCGTTCAATTAGAAAAACAAATGGTAAAAATGCGAACAATGCATGGTTCAGCCGTTGCGCAATCTAATGAGCATTTCGATAATGTCAAAGCAATATCCACTTCAGACGCAGCTGGACATTCACATCATCATCACCATCATCTTTCGCAACAACCGAAAAAAAAACCTATGCAACCGTTCATTATTACACGTAACTCTGCACAAAAGGCGGTTTTCGGTGCGGGCTATCCAAGTTTGCCGGTGATGACTGTCGATGAGTTTTACGATCAACGTGTACGGGAAGGAGTTTTCCCTGATGAAGAGAAGGTGGCCAAAATGAATCGAGAACAAGCAATAGCCGCTGCACAAGATCCCAATGAGAAGGAGGATCAAGAAAAGGCTGTTGAAGAGATTCAAGTTGAGAATGATGATCCAGAATATTTAGCCCGTATGCGACGAATGGATGAATACAAAGATGTTGTACGTCGTGGCGACGGCAACCGTTACAATCGCAGTTAAATCACCGCCCATATTTATGTTCTTTTAGGACGATTTCCATGATTTCATAAAAATAAAAATATAAAAGTTTTCAAACATTTTTTAGTTTATAAAGGTTTGTTAAATAAATCGCTGTGTTACATAGTAATCATATTCGGACTTAATAACAAAAACTATATTTGCGATTGGTCTGACTTTTAAAAAGTTTTTGACGACTTTGTTAGACATTAGTTCTCTTTGAGAAAAAGTAAGTTCAGGAAAATTAAAGTGGAACACAACAAACGTGAAGAATTTAATCACTTTCATTTATTAATTAGCTCTGTTTTATATATCAACTACATCTATATTTAATAAATCTAAATATTGTATATCAAGAAATGCCAAAAAGTTGTGTGTGTATAAACATTAATGAATATATTTGGCACACAGGTCATATTATCACGTTATATCTGCGCAACTTATGTTAAATATTAATGACATCTTTACGTAATTACCTATAGGTATAACTATATTGTACATTTAACCACATTGTATGTATATGTATAGTTTTACAATCATAGCAGCTGCAGGATTGACGTTCTCTACACATTTTCTTGAACACACATATAACATTGTTCAGGCTAAATTTTTGTATACAGTGTAAAGTATTTACGAAACACAAAAAAAAAACACATATTAATAATCTTTAACAAAAAAAAAACATTTTCATACTTTTTTTCTTATATATATGGTGCAATAAGCAATACAAAAAAACTCATGCTGTCAAGTTAAGTATTTCAAAAAATATCAAGTGTTAAAGTATCATCTGCCGTATACAGCGTTACTTTGCGGCGATCTTATTTAGATTAAAATACATTTTTCTTAAACAATAATATAAGAAGTAATTAATTCTGTGATACACAGATTACACTGAAAACAGTTCATAAAATAGACTTGCCTTAACAAATATAATTTACCAATAACATAATAGTTCATCTCCTGGCCCGCTTTTTAGGTGGTTGTAAAAAGTTTTCATCTTCCTCATCAATATCCATTGTATTTAACTGCATTAACGCTTTAGCTTTACGTAACATTTCATTGTCTTTAAGCCAACTGCTCTTCAGAACATCATCAACCGTTGGTCGTTTTTTAGGGTCCACCATCAGCATTTCTTTTATAAGTGTAGTAGCACGTTGAGAAACCTTTTTCCATGTAGGATGACTAAAGCGAAAACGCCCGTGCTTTATTTGTTCACTGGCAGGTGTACCAAAATCATCCGAGAAGGGCAAAGTACCGCTTAGGCTAGATAGAAAACGAACAATTAAGAAAACTAAAATATTTGAAGAATAAAGAAAATAATAATAAAATGTTACCAAGTAAACAGAACTACACCAAGGCTCCAGATATCTACTTTTTTCGTATAAGCCCCTCGTCCACCGGTTTGTAGCACTTCAGGTGCTACATATAATGGTGTTCCACACAACGTTTTCATGACAGAATCATTCTGCACAAATTTACTTAGACCAAAATCGGAAACTTTTAATAAAGTTTCCTCGTTCGAAGATTCCAGTAATACATTGTCAGGTTTTAAATCCCGATGACTTATGCCTATACATGATTGATTATAATTATATAAAGGATATTAAACGCAAAAAATTACCTTTATCATGTAAATATTTAACAGCATGACACATTTGGTAGAAAAATAACTTGGATATCGGTTCTGAGAGATTTCTGTTTGTTATAATGCGGTTCAGTAAATCACCCCCCTTCATAAATTCCAGCACCATATAAACAGAGTCGGGTTTATCAATTATATCGTGCATTTTGATAACACAGGGCTATCGGGTATCGTGAAAACATCATTTTTTTTATTATGTATTATAAACAAATGTATATATATTATATTTTTAATCCACTTACATGAGAAAGACTCTTCATTATATTCGCTTCATTAAGAACCTTTTCAGGGTCATTGGAATTTAATTGTTTGTTACGACTGATAGCATTACTTTCACTTAGTAGGTTCTTCTTTACCATTTTCATTGCAAACTGCTCACATGAACGTATATCAAATACCAAACGGACTAATCCACAAGCACCAGAACCCAATTTGCGACTTACATAATAAGTGGATGTAATTTCTTTTGGTAAGCCCAGTGCTTCGTTTGGACATAAATCTTTGAATACAAAGGCTAAACAGAAATGTACCAATATTTATGTATACACTTAGATTATGATAAAAGATAATTAAAATGCCGCTACCTTTGTTCGTAGGATGACAAAGAGAAATAACATCATCGTTTTTCAAAATTCTTGTTTTGTTCATACCAATTCGTTCACCATTTATAAATGTCCCATTACGAGAGTTGTCCTTTCAAATACAAATTGAATTGAGAAAAAAAACAAAACAGCATACTCATTTCAGCTTACTTCAATATAAACTGGATTAGATATATCACAATTTTCCCGCTTCAATGTAAAATGTATCTTCGATATGCGATATAGAATTTTTTCTGGCAAATAGTCCAAAGTTAACATTAAATTACAAGTTTCACCTCTGCCAGCTGCGAATTCATCGGCATTTAGATCTAATAATCAAATAATTTTATTCAGTTACAAAATAAATAAACATTTAAAGTTTTATTTCTTGTAAAAATTTAGTTGGATTTTTTTTTTTTTTTGTTAAATACATTTTATTTGCAATCTATTTCAGTAAATAATAAGCAAATTTGATAACAAAACCATAATTTTACTTAAATTTTTGATCTCCCATGAGATCAAAAATAATATACAATATTACAAAATGTTCTAAATACAAATGTTTATGTAAAAAATTTAATTATACATTTAATATATTAGTAACATATGTAATTAAACATTAACTTAATTCCTAAATGGGAGATCTAGAACATGTTGTCTTTTAAGTCTAATAGTTTCATTACTATCATCTAATAACGTGACTGCCAAAGGATTGTCATGGTAACTTATCCTGTGCAAATATGCTGAACTAAATCTTTTAATTTCATCTTTAACAAAAGGTAGTATATTCAGGTCTGAATGAATGGAAATTTAAGTTTCCATGTAGGTTTTATAGATTTTACTGAATGCTTTATTCTTTTACTAACTATAACAAACTTACCTATGGAATTCATTTTGATATTCTTTCCATACAAACGACCCCAGACTATATTCTCTATGGGTTGACTCTGAGTTTGGCCCCAAATACTAGAGGCTTGACTTTGAGTGGCAATATTAGCATGGCGCGCCATTACACTTATATGAAAATTACCCAAAACTACAACAAAACAATATTATAAAATTACAAAGTCCCAAAAATATTGATGAGTTTAATCTTTTGACATACTCAAAGAATATATTATATTAAAAGTTCTGTTATTATTTTTTAATATTTCGCGGCTAACTTCTTTTTAATATAAAGTGGGAACAAATTGATCCCTTTCCACTTTCCATTATGATAGTTACCATATTTTTTTAATGAAGATGCATGGGTAAACTGCGTACTTAACAACTTTACATATTCATTTGATCACAAAATCTTTCACCATTTAGGAAAAAATTAAGAAATCACCAAAATGCAATTTTAAAAACAAGAAGTTTTATCTCAAAAAAGTGAATTGTGCTTGGTGATTCATGATTAAATTTTAAAGTTGTTTTAGCATAAAGCTTTACGGTGGAGCGTGCTGTTTCTTACGAAAATTGCTTTATTTTCATTTTTCTAGTTTTAATTATATACATTTTTGTAATTATTCGTCTTTAATCATTTATTCATATTCAGTTACTGCAAACAAATTTTTTATTGACCGCTATGTTTAACTTTAAAATTATGGTGTTTGTGTTTATGTTTTTTAAATTATGATTGCAGTTTTTAAATAATTAATAAAGAAACAAATTCGTAATCATAAAATAATAACTTTAAAAGTTGTAGGCCAAAATATTATTCGTTCCAAATATTGTGACGAATCCCACAACGTATTATTAGACGATAAATTGCTAAAATTTACTAGACACCGATATTCGTAGTCGCCTACGTGGTGTTAACGGTCTGGTATATAGTCTATGGCTACTGAATTGTGTGGACAGTTCTAGTTAGAGTGCTGTCGCGAAAAAACAAAATGACTTATTAATAAGAGTTTGTGAATCCGGATAACTAGTAGAAAAGCGTTAAGTTTTTAAAATTAGAAATAAAGGGAAGTGTATAGGCATTAAATTGATAATTTTATTTAACAATCTAGTGATCTAACTCAAGAGTGAGTTACAAGGTAGACGATTTCAATTCATTTCATTATTGACTTTTATAAATAAATTCCTCTAATGAACCCTGTGTCGCAACTGTATATAATGTTGGCAACTTTGTTGTTCTAATTTGACAGTAATCTTTGCAAGAAAACGTCATCCAATTTTCTCATATGTGCAAGTGGTGAAGAAAATTAGAATTCTGTTGTTTTAAAGTTAATGAAAATTTTAAACACATTTAATACACTAAAGTTAATAATATTATCCACATAAAATGCCTCTAAAGTTAGACATAAAACGTCGTTTAACTTCGCGATCAGATCGTGTTAAATGTGTCGATCTTCATCCGACTGAGCCATGGATGTTATGTGCACTTTACAATGGCCACGTACACATAATGAATTATGAAAATCAACAATTGGTAAAAGATTTTGAAGTGTGTGATGTGCCGGTGCGTTGTGGTCGTTTTGTGGCAAGGAAAAATTGGCTCATCACTGGATCAGATGATATGCAAATCCGTGTGTTTAACTACAACACTCTTGAAAAGCTTCATTCATTCGAGGCGCACTCGGATTATCTACGATGCATTGCTGTACACCCTACACAGCCGCTAATATTGACAAGCAGCGGTATGTAATATTGTTTATTATTTTTGTAGGTTAGAAATAAATAGTAAACATTTGAATACAGATGATATGTTAATAAAACTATGGAATTGGGAAAAAATGTGGGCATGCCAACGTGTTTTTGAGGGACACACACATTACGTTATGCAAATTGTTTTCAACCCAAAAGATAATAACACCTTCGCATCGGCATCTCTTGATCGAACAGTAAAAGTTTGGCAACTCGGTTCAACCTTCGCCAACTTCACACTTGAAGGACACGAAAAAGGAATTAATTGTATCGACTACTACCATGGAGGTGATAAACCATATCTTATTTCTGGTGCAGATGATAGGCTTGTAAAGATTTGGGATTATCAAAATAAAACGTGTGTTCAAACTTTGGAGGGACATGCCCAAAATATATCTGCTGTTTGTTTTCATCCGGAATTGCCCATTGTATTAACCGGTTCCGAAGATGGCACAGTTCGCATCTGGCACTCAGGTACTTACCGCCTGGAAACCTGTCTTAATTATGGATTTGAACGTGTCTGGACAATTGCATGCATGCGGGGTAGTAATAACGTTGCCCTCGGATACGATGAAGGATCAATCATAATAAAAGTAGGTCGGGAAGAACCAGCAATGTCAATGGATGTAATTGGATCGAAAATAATTTGGGCAAAGCACTCTGAAATGCAACAAGTAAGTATTAATTTATATGTCATATAAATGACTTATAAATATACAATATTTTACAGGTTAACTTAAAAGCAATGGCTGATGATACTGAAATCAAAGATGGAGAACGTTTACCAGTTGCGGTTAAGGATATGGGAGCATGCGAAATCTATCCTCAGACAATAGCACACAATCCCAATGGTCGTTTTGTGGTTGTATGTGGTGATGGTGAATACATAATATATACATCCATGGCTTTGCGGAATAAAGCATTTGGTTCCGCCCAAGAATTCGTTTGGGCTCTGGAAAGTAATGAATACGCTATTAGAGAAAATAATGGAACGGTACGCCTTTTCCGCAACTTTAAAGAAAGAAAGAGTTTCACTCCAGAATATGGCGCTGAAAGTATATATGGAGGCTATTTATTCGGCGTTAAAACATCATCTGGATTGGCGTTTTATGACTGGGAAACACTGCAGTTGGTGCGACGCATTGAAGTGCAACCACGACATGTATTCTGGAATGAAGCTGGCACATTGGTGTGCCTTGCTACCGATGAATCTTATTTTGTTCTGTCTATAGACACAGCAGCCATAGCAGCTGCCTTAGAGAGCAAGCAAGGGCTCGAAGACGATGGTATCGAAAGCGCCTTTGATGTTTTAGGTAACATATTATACTAAATTTTTGATAAATAGTGGACATTTTTAATACCGTTGTTTTTTCAGGGGAAGTCAACGAAGTTGTAAAAACTGGTATTTGGGTTGGAGATTGCTTCATATATACTAATTCAGTAAATCGTATTAACTACTATGTTGGTGGAGAAATCGTCACTATATCTCACTTGGATCGCACAATGTATTTACTTGGTTACGTACCAAAAGACAACCGACTGTATTTGGGCGATAAAGAATTGAATGTTATTTCATTTTCACTTTTGCTTTCTGTACTCGAATACCAAACTGCTGTTATGCGTAGTGATTTCGAACGGGCTGATCTGGTATTGCCCACAGTGCCAAAAGAGCATCGCACACGTGTAGCACATTTCTTGGAAAAGCAAGGCTTCAAGCCGCAAGCATTACAGGTCTCTACAGATCCTGATCATAAATTCGACCTGGCATTGCAAATCGGTGAATTGGAGGTTGCTTTGAAATTAGCACGTGAAGCAGAAAATCCTCAAAAGTGGTCACAATTAGCAGACGTTGCTTCTCGTAAAAATAACATGCAGCTTGTAAAAGAATGTATGCAGAAGGCGAATGATTTCAGTGGTCTTTTGTTGTTAGCAACATCATCAGGTGATGACAAAATGTTGGAGGAAGTAGCTGAAAGCAGTTCAAGTCAAGGTCGTCACAATATAGCATTCCTCTCCTCCTTCGTTCGAGCAGATGTACAACGTTGCTTGGACATTTTAATTGAGACGAATCGTTTACCCGAAGCAGCATTATTTGCACGTACATACATTCCCAGCCAAATGTCACGTGTAGTGGAACTTTGGCGTGAAGAGTTGGCCAAATTCAATGAGAAAGCAGGTCAATCTCTCGCTGATCCAGCTAAATATGAAAATCTCTTCCCTGGTCTTGGAGAGGCTCTTCGCGCCGAAGAATTTCTACAACAAACACAATCAAAGAAGTTACCAGCTACTGCCGCCGCCAAAATTCCACTCAATATTGAACGTAATCCTATCGAAGAAATGTATGCTGCAGAACAACGTGGAATATTTGAAAGTAACGGCAAGCCTGGAGTGCAATCATATAAGAAAAGTGATGACTTTGTAATTCCACCAACAAACGCCGTTGCTACTACATCTACAGCCGCATCTGTATTAAATAAGTCGTCAGATGGACTGGCAAACGATGGTGATGACATTGACGATGAGTTAGACCTTGAAATTGAGGGAGTAACATTGGACGATAACATTGATACGACAGATGTGAATTTAGATGATGATTTTCTTAGTGATGACTAAGTCAAGCGCTATCAATACACAACTTGCATAATACAATTATTACACATACATTTAGAAACTTATTCCCAAATATGAACTGTTTATTGTTTATTAAGTTTTTCATTGAGATATTGTTCTTCATTCTATGTAACAGTACTAATGGGAAATTAAAAGTGTCTAATATTTTTATCAGACCGAAGTTTAGATATTGTAAACACACATACATACGATCAGTAGGGATACTACGCAATTATCAAAGTTGCGCAAATTTTTAAGCATTCTGTATAAATTTAATATAATAAACAATAAAGGAAATACTTATAGCGAACATTTATGTTAGTCAAAATTGTTAATTTTTATTTGATATTTAATATGGCATTTAAGCTCAACATATACCAGCAGCAGCACTACATTTCTCGTTTTGTACTCATGAAACGTTTATTTGAAACAAAACCATTAGTATTATAAGAAATGACTACAAAGTTGGTAAATATATTTAATGGGCTCAATATATGTGTGTATATGTTATTTCATCTACATTAATAAAATGAATGCAATAAGCTTCCCCTGGTGGTCAATTAGTACAGCATTTTATTCAGATGATTTACATAGAAAAAGTCACATTATTGAAGGAAATCTCCTTGGACCCATTAATATAAGTTTTATTAATATTTGTTTACCGGTGCCCTAATGTAAAGTCATGTAAATGGTGTTAAGTCATTTGTATATATGAAGTCGGTGTAAATTCTGTACGTAAATGTCAAAATCATATGTTCTTTATATGACATACACATCTACATATATCACGGTATCACTGTAGGAAATTACAGATGAGAAATTTGAATCGTATCGCATATAAAATCAAAACGAATTCTTTATTATTTATTCTGTTCTTTTTTATTTTTTTCTTTCCATTTCAAGTTTTTGGAATAAGTTGCTGTCTACAAGATGTTTGCTTTCATTAAATAACTGTTAACTTCCAAACTATATCAAGAATAATATATATCTTTATATGTTGAGATCAATAATAATGTATAATATACATTCATTTAGGTGTTTTGACATAAAAAATATTTGGTTACTCTATCTTTGAGTTGTTAGGAATGTTTCGTTTCTATTAACAATAGGAACATTGATATATGTTTATTTTAAGTTCACTTTTTCTCTACGTCTCGTGGGGAAGGATTTTGCTGCTCTTTATTTGAAGATAAATTTAATGCAAATTATAATTTATTTTTAAATAAAAATCAGTGCAAATCACAACTGGCAGGTAATTAGATCTTTTATTACGAAAAAAATTTAAATTTGCTATACAAATTTGATATGTTATGATCTATAAGTGACATTCAGAATATCGATTTTTCTTAGTTGATTGTTTTCTGTATGTCTAAGTGTAAGCGATTTTTTTATTTTTTCCAGCTATCTTTAAAATAAAAATTGATCTAATAAAAAAGCAATAATAAATAAAAATAAAATGGATAATATTCAGGGAAATGAACATCAACCCCAACAACGAACTGGATTTGCACCACGGCGTCAGTATGATGATCTTGGACCGTCAGTGCTTACTAGTTTGGATAACATTACAAACGGTCATATGCAAAATCCAAAAATTGAGCTGGCATCGAGACCCATGAAGTCTAAAAAGGATAGAATGGCAGATTTAACTGCCGCAACCAGCAAATTAGCTATTGAGGAATTAAGATTGGTAAGGACAATTTAAAACTATAGGTGTTATTAATATAATTTTTTCAAATTGAAAAAAGTTGTTCAGGCGAATTAAGAATTAAAATATATTCATAAACGAAGGAGTTTTTGACATATCCTTTTTATTGACAATTAGTTCTTGAAAAAATATTTGATTCCACTAACCATATTGCGTTTTAAATTTTAACTATAAAAAAAAAAATTTTTTTTGAATACCATTTACATTTTGCTTTATGGATTTAACAAGGATTTTCCATTTTCAGACCGATAGCAATGGACTGGCAATGAAAACACCGGTTTCCATTTTACAAGAGCTCTTGAGTCGCCGTGGAATAACTCCCAACTATGAGTTGGTGCAAATCGAGGGCGCCATTCATGAGCCCACATTTCGTTATCGTGTCGCTTTTAACGACAAGGATGTGCCGTTTACAGCAATGGGCGCGGGACGCTCTAAGAAAGAGGCTAAACATTCAGCTGCACGTGCATTAATTGATAAGTTAACTGGTGTACAGCTACCTGACGCAGCCCAAGCTTGTGCTGGCGTTGGAATTGGTGCAGCAACTGGTGGTATTACAGCTACAAATGTAGCCAACGAAGCCAACGCAAATCCAGTTGGAAGTGGCGAGTACGTATTCAAATCCTATTAGAAATAGGTAAAAGGCGTATTTGTAATTATGGCAATTCCATTTTTATAGTGGCGCCGATAAAATAGTTGGAAACCCCATTGGATGGTTGCAGGAGATGTGTATGTCTCGTCGCTGGCCACCACCAACTTATGAGACAGAAACTGAAGTCGGTTTACCACATGAACGGCTATTTACAATTGCCTGTTCTATTCTTAATTACCGTGAAGTTGGAAAAGGGAAAAGTAAGAAAATTGCCAAACGTCTAGCCGCTCATAAAATGTGGACGCGCTTACAAGAAAACCCATTGGACAACAATCAGATATCGGAAGCAATGCGTGTCGATCTGGATGGTGATGTAAGTGATAATTCCTCTGCTATGTCAAATCTGATAAGTACCTATACAAAATTCAATAATTCGTCGATACATTTCAAGTCACCATATGGAATTTGTAAAAAGATACTAATTCTTAAAAGTACTCAAATGGCTGATATTTTCTTCAAACATTTAAAAAATTCTTGAGAGAGAACTACTGTAAATCCCCAAATATATATCCCAAACTATTTGGAGTATTTTTAAAAAGTAAAAATAACAACAATTGATCCATGACTTGTCATTTCGCTTTCTCGTTACAGAATCGTAACTGTTCTAATTATTATGGTGATTTGAAAGATATCACTGTGCCTACATTAACGAGCCAGCATAGTAATAAGGTCTCACAGTTTCATAAAACACTTAAAAATGCTACCGGAAAAAAATTATTGAAGTTGCAGGTGAGATGCTTACATAAACATTATATTGTTGCATTATTTGGAGAAAAGTGCTATGATAATTTGTTATCCTATTACAATGAATGATTTAAACAATATTTTTTATAGTATATTATATATCTAAGTGTAATATAGTATATTTAACTGTAAATGTGAGTGCATAAGATACTAATATTCGTCATGTTATAAGCTCTACACGAGTTAATTTTGACGTATTATCTCATGGTAAATAAATTTCTTGCAAGAAACTGAAATTAAAAGAGTAGTTCTTGAAGCTCATGTGTTCATATAATAAATTGGATATTCAGACAAAAAAGTTTTGAACATTTTAGTATTATTTTACATCATATATGTATGCATATGTTTAACATTAGGTCAAACAATATTTAATACACCTTATTTTCTTTTATATATTTGCAGAAAACGTGTTTAAAAGGTCCAAAAATTGATTATGTTAAGTTATTGTCCGAAATTGCCAATGAGAATCAATTTGAAGTTACGTACGTTGATATAGAGGAGAAAACCTTTACAGACCAATGCCAATGTTTGGTTCAGCTTTCAACTTTGCCGGTCGGTGTATGCCATGGTTCTGGGCCAACAGCAGCTGATGCACAGAAGCAGGCTGCACAAAATGCATTGGAGTACTTAAAAATTATGACAAAGAAATAAATAAAAAACTTGAATGTTAAAGTATTAAAACTTAGCTGTCGTGAGAGATATGCAACCTCATAAGGCAGAATCAAATGTAAGATGGTAGTGATAACAAATATTTCATGACCAGTGAATAAATAGCGGAAAATTTCCAGTGTATTTCTGCTTAAGGACCGATTGCTAAAAGAATCGTATGCAAAAATAAGGAAGAATTGTAAATTTTCAATATTTTTGATTAAAACCTTAATTAACTTAATTATAAATAAAGGTAAAATTTTATAATTAAATATTTTGGTTGGACGAGGGATAAAAAAAAAGATAAATGCTTTGCATTTGATACTAAACGGAATTAAATTTTTTTGTTTACTAAATTCAATCATTAAATACAAAAAGGATATCTGTATCCATAACAAAAAAAAAAAAAAACAATTGAAGTGGAAATGGTTTAAAAATTGCATATGAATGAAAAAAAAATGAATTGTATGTTGATTATGAATCTTATGACTTATGGTCATATAAGTCGCACTCACTTATAAATAAACATAAATTTTGTATTATACTTATATATAGAATGTTCGTGCAGAACAGTTTGAAATCAGCAAACTATATGCAAATAACATATGTATGTACACAATTACCATGAATTCGACAACAATAAAAATTAGTTTTAATATTTATTGCAGAAAACTTGAATAAATTACGATTTCAGAGAATTAAATGTCTTTTTTCTTTTATTTTAAGTAATTTCATTCGCAATGGCATTGGCTTTCATTCTACCTGACCAACTTCATCGATTCTGATAAAATAATATACATATGTATGCATATTGTTGTATGATCATCAGGTTAGTGTGTTTGTTATTTCCAATTTTTTTAACACCACCTGAATTTCAGTTTATGCCATAAAAATAAGGATCCAACTTCAACAAGCTCTTTATTTTAGTGAGTTGTCCGGGGTAGACAAATTAAAAAAAATAAGTCATTGTAGGATGAAACCCATTGGAAAGGAAAGACAACAATTTGTAACAAAAATTAAAGGACAAACAATTTACGGGCGATGTGACTTCGGAAAGAGGAAAGGATGAAGGCGTTGTTGAGGTTTTAAGGGTTAAAAACACGCAGTAACTCAATTTCATGCAAAACTAGAACACTATACAAAAAAATTACATGACAAAGTTGTAGGTATTAAAAATATCTAAAACTTTTGTATTAACCCCTTTTTGACATAAGATCATCAAAATTTCAAATATTCAAGTTTTTCACATAACAAAAAGTATTTATTCTATTTAAAATATTAAGAACGACTTAAAATCGATATAAATATCTTGTTCCAAGCTATAATTAGTATTACTCACAACTGTAGTTTTGCAAGAGATAATTAGTATTACTCGCATCTGTAGTTTTTGCAACAGATCATTCACAATAAACAAACATTAAAGCAACCTTGGTATCATTAGGTCTCGCTTAAAATTTTCGCCGGTGTGGAGATATTTTGTGCGATTCGCGGCAAAACGAGTGTGCGAATGTTTGGCCAATATAAATAAAATAATTGTGTTGGGAATATATTTTTAGTGATAATATCTGCCTAAATACTTGCTATTAAAGAGAAACCTTTCGGAGAAGCTTTACAGGTCTGACAAGAAAAATTACAGGCCTTTCGCAATAATATCTAATTGCACGCGGGAGATATCCGACTTCCCAGACTTCATTCATTTAGTTTATAACAAATTATAGGTAAGGCATAAATTACTAAAATATGTGTGTATATTCGATATATTAATATGTTTCATTAATCTTAAAAAAAATATTAAAGATAAAATGCCGTCAATGAGTCCAATAGATTTCTTGGATATGGCTGGGAATATATTGGAGCGAATGGATATCAGAGATAGTTCGTCTCCGGGTTTGCTGGATGTTAAAATAAATCTTACAGGAGTAGCACAGCACGGTTTTGCAACAGCTAGCGGTTTAAATGATTATGATTATCAAAATATTTCGAGTTTATCAGTGGGCCCTAAATCGGCGATGCAAGTACATACAGTCAATAAAATTCCTATTCCCTCAGAAATTTTAGAACATTTCAAACATATAAAATGTCATTGTATGATGGGATTGTTTCCGGAAATCGGTAGAGCATGGCTAACGATTGACTCAGAAATCTATATTTGGACATATGAACAAGCGCGAGATGTTGCTTATTATGATGGACTGAATCATTTAATTGTGAGTGTAGGTTTGGCAAAACCCAAACCCGGAGTTTTCATCAACGATGTGAAATACTTATTAATTTTGACCACCCCAATTGAAATTATTGTTTTGGGCGTTACATTTGCGGATACCACAAAAATTATTTCTTCTCCAATGCGAAATATGCAAAGCACTACCACTTTTGAAGAAATGCAGCTTATGAATAAACCAATATTTATTTTAAATTCAGATAATGTTGCTATTAATGTTGTGCAATGCAGTCAAAATGGACGAATTTTCCTCGGTGGTCGAGACGGTTGTCTTTATGAAATCGACTATCATGCTGATTCCAGTTGGTTCGGAAAGCGCTGTAAAAAAGTAAATCATTCTCAGAGTATGGTATCAGCAATGGTCCCAAGTTTTCTTAAACTTTTTGCTGAGAATGATCCCATAGTTAAAATCGTAATCGATGATAATCGGCAACTACTATACACGCTAACAGAAAAAGGATCTATAGAGGCGTGGAATATGGGTACGGATTGTGGTAGTATGCGTCGTTTTGCGAGGGTATCACAAAATGAAATTACACAGCGCGCCAGCAGCATATTAAAAACTGTTGATAATTCAATATTTACCAAAATTAAATCAATTTGTCCCTTATCAAACGATGATAGTCAAAATTTAAATTTACTTGCTATTACGCAGTGTGGTGTACGATTATTTTTTGCTGCAAGGCCATTAAGTTCATCACATAACCTTAACCAACAATCGCAGCTGCAACAAACACAACTTTCGCAAACTTTACAGATGCAGACATCCACTAATTATCAAAACCCTGGATCTTCTGGAGGAGCATCGCCACAGACGACACAAGATTGCAGTAAACCACAGGGTTTATATTTATATCATGTCCGTCTTCCACCTGGATATACACCGAACACCACTATAAATAAGCCAAAGCAAGTTCATTCGGCATATTACAGCGAAGGAACACTACTGTTAGTATCAACGTCCCAGCAGGATCAGGATCACTTATGGTCTATAAGTTCAGCACCATTTCTTAGTCGACCATACCTGGCGGAAGCAACAGCAATGCTTAATTTAGACGGTATAGTATGGAGCTTATCTGAAGTACGAGACAAATGTGAGTCAACTATAAATTCAGTTTTACGCAAAGCGAAAAAAGCTAAAAAAGTGGTGCTGCTCACAAACCAAGGTGCTCATATTATCGCCTTATTAAAGCCTGTCGACATACTCCAGCAGCTACTGACGGCATACAATGGCCCTCACAATGAAGCTGTTAAAACTTTTTTCCAAATACAAACGGAGTGTGAGGCGTGCACAACCGCATTACTTATAGCTTGTTCAGATCAGTATCGCAACACTGATCTGGCATTGTGGGCGGCACAGGCTTTTCTATTATACGGAGGAGAACCATATTATCATTTTCAAATGCTTGCAAATACACAAGCAGGAACAACAAAAATGAACCCTATGAATCCTCCACTAAATATCACGCATCATGGTATTGACCGTAACTCGCCGCAAATGTTTGTCTCAACACCGATGCCACATGGTGGGGGTGGTGGCTATCAAATAGCTCGTTCACCACAGTTACCACTTTCAATGCAACAGTCTCAGTATCCACTAAGTCCCATAACTGGACAAGATGCAGGTCATGATGGCTTGATCGTCAATGACTATTCTACAGTAATATATTCTGCAAAACATGATGGTTTATATTTATATGTTGCTCGTCTACTTAGACCAATATGGAAGAAACGTTGCGTGGACACAAATTTATGTACTACATTAACGCAGGCCGATTGTACATTAATTTTGGAAGATTTGTTTTCGCTCAAAGTATTTATGGATGCTTATACTGTAAATGACTTATCTGGATTCACACGTAATACCTACTCCACTCAAACGAACATTTCAAATGGTTACAGTCATATGCTATCCTCGCACAATCAACTAACACCACACGATCAAAGAACTGTCACAGAAAAAGCGCAAAATGAAGAGAAACAATCACTGAGCGCTTTATATCAATTGGTTAAGCATGTGTGCGAAGTAATGTCACTTTGGAAAATTCTATGTGAACATCAGTTCCAAGTACTTGCTACTCAATTGCCCAAAGAAGAACAAACGACATTAAGTTCCTGTACATTTCGCGATCTAACACTCACTCGCACTGAATCATGTGCTTTGCTAATAGCTACTTTAATCAATTCATATCTCAAAGATAATGCAAGCGTTAGTATAATCTCAGCCAAATTGCGCGAAGTATGCCCCAATTTGTATCGTCACGAAGATGCTGTCACTTTTAAAGCTACTGAAATATTGCTATCGGCTAAAAGTTGCGAAGCATCTGAGGGAAAGCACGAAAAACTTAGGACGGCTCTACAGCTTTGTAAGGATGCCGCTCCTAATCTACCTCTACAAAATATTTGCCAACAATTTTCAACTGCCGGTTTTGGTGAAGGAGTTATTGAATTAACTGCAACTTGTGCAGCAAAAATCGATCCGGAAGAATATGGTATCCGGTATTATAATAGTGATGAGCCCACCGAAGACACTGAGGGTTATACTGCGTATTCTGCGCGTATGTCATGCTATAAAGAAATCCGTTCGATGTTGGAGACTGTCTATCAGAATCATTGCAATGCTAATGAAACACAAGAATTCGAATTTCAAAGACAAATGTGTGATACCAACGAAAATAGTTTTAGCGTGCAAATACGCAAATTAGTGAATTTGGCAATACAAATAAAAGATCCATTACTGCATATAACTATATATCAATGGTTGATGGCCCATGATATGATTTCAGAGTTGTTAGCATTGCCAGAGCCAAGCTTAGGAGAATTTCTGCGAAGAAATGTCGTAAATAATCCGGGAAATCTAAATCTAGTTGATCTTCTGTGGAAATACTACGAAAAGAATGGCCGGCATGCAGAAGCTGCACATATTTTAGATAATTTAGCAAGTACTGAGAGTGAATCCATATCTCTGGATCAACGTATTGAATATCTAGCACGAGCAGTAATGTGTATGCGTAATGATAGTTCGGGTTTTTCGATTGCCAATGGTATCTTGTTAAAAGAACTAGAGGATAAACTAGAAATTGCACGAGTTCAAAAGTGCATATTGGATACACTTTCCTCACATGTAAGAACGGATCACAATACAGTGCAAGCTATAGAAAAGCTTAATTTTACGTTATACGACATTACACAACTTTATCAACAATTTGCTGATCCGTTTGATTTGTGGGAATGTAAACTAACCATATTAAATTGTTCGCATCACAATGATCCATTGTTAATTGAAACAGTTTGGAGTCAGATTATTAATAAGGCTGTAGATGGCATAGGTACTACACAGGAACGTTGCACACGCTTGTTCACCAAGATTGAATCACTGGTTAAAGAGTTTCGAGAGTCTGGTCATTGTTTCCCATTAGCGTTTATTATACGCGAGCTAGAATTGAAAGCCTGCCAACTTCGTTTTCCAGAGGGGATTGTACCTGACAAGTTGGTGGCAATGAATATAGATATTGACCTTTTAATGGAATACTACTTCCGTATGATTTCAATGAACGAACGTGTTTGGGCAAATGAAGGAAATGAATGGCATTTGGTGCAATCTTCCATACGCGTTGTGACCTTGTTATGTGGGCAAATTCGGTCTATGTGGAACCGTTCTAAAGGGCGAATTGTTGGAAAAGCACAGGATATCGTATCGACTTGTTTAAGTTTCTGTTATCAAAAGCCTGATACTGAACAACTGCGAAATGCGCTCAAAACATTACAATGCCAATTGCAGGATAATTTATTGTGAAGTTTTTAAATTTTTTATATCATCCATCAATATAAACATAGAAATAAAAATAGAAATTCGTTGTTTTTGTTTAAATATGTATTTGAAATTGCTTAATTGAAATGTATAGATATATTTACTGTATTATAACTGTAAATGATTTGGTCTCTTCAAAATTGGTTTGTAAAGGTATTAAGGAATGCTGGAAATCAAAGCGTCATAAAAACAAGAAACTTCGACCTTATAATACACTTCACAAAAAAAAAATTTGAATACAGCACGATTTTGATCGATCAGATTATGGCAATATATGTTACAGTGATTCGATCTGGGTAGTTTGTTCGGAGATTGTACCGTGGGCTTGGGCCATTAAACAAAACGTTTTCAATGCAAAAACCAGATTTTGATCAGCCAGTATGCATGGCAGTTATATGCTGTAGCGGTCTGTACTGAATTTTTTTTTTTTTTTTTTTTTTTTGTGTTTTCTTGAAGATATTTTGTCGAAGAAAAAACTTCAGTTTGTTAGGCAGCTACATATGAATGCATATTAGAGTGTGGTCCGAATTTAACAATATATTCGGAGATTGTAGCGTTAGTTTAAACAACAATTCATACCAAATTTCATGAAGATATCTTGCCAAACAAAAAAGTTTTTTTTATTTTTTAATAAATTATGAATTTATTATGTATATTACACATCCATAAATCCTATCAAATCAGTTCTAAAGTATAACAAATATGGCAACCACAAAGTCTTGCCGGCTGTTATAACCTCTAAAAATATCAATCAAAACAACTAGCTCAAACAGAGTTTCTTCGGTCGTGGACTTTCGATCACAGGTTTAGTGTTTATAAAATATAAATGTTTCCTACAAAACATGGCGTGATATTCCGTACACCGGAACAACATCAGCCACCAGATGACACCAGTCTTTCAGGCAATACATATTACCCAAATTTGAATTCACGAGACTACGCCAAGCGACCACTGAATCGTCATATTCGTATGCACAAAGCATGGGAATGTATATCAATTAACTCTGAGCAAGAGGCAGTTATTGCTACCAATAAGTTATCGGGTCGTGAGTGGTCAGGATCTCTGTGGGGATTCGAAGATATTGGTGATGGTAGTATGTTGAAGCCATCCAAAGCTGCGTACAAACTGCAATGTCAAAATTTAGTGTCCTGTTTGCGATTCGTTTCGGATAATATTGTAGGTTTAAATAGTCTTTAAAATTTTCGTATATTAAATGTGTTATGTATCTTAATTTGTAGTTCATTGTAGCGTTGCGTTCAGGTCGTGTACAGGTATGGTCTACAAGATCGGAGGTGCGCAATCCACAAATACCGTACTGTATGTTCTTAATTGGTGAAAAATGTGAACATATGCGGCCTGTTACTTGTTTGGATGTAATGAAGAATGTAGATCATGCGGCTACCGGCAGCAAGGATGGCACTTTAAAAGTAAGCATCCTTACAATTTCTAATTGAGTTAAATCTCGTATTTATATAATTTTTAGGTCTGGGATATGGGTTGTGCTGATCTATTTTCCATACACACTTTTCGGTATGCACACACAGACGTAATTACGAGTATTGCTGCTTCAAACACAGATGCATCAGTATTTGCTACCTGCTCATTTGATCAAAGTGTCTTACTTTGGGATGATCGATTAACGAGACCTGCGATAGGTTAATATTTCATTATTATTTGCATACAATATAATATTTTTTTTTTTATTATAGCTCTGTATGAGAAATACTCATCGCGTTTTAAAAATTTGGCATGGGCAGAAAGCAGTGATCATTTTTTATATGTTGGTGACGAATCCGGTTTTGTGCACACAATTGATACACGTGTACCAAGAGAATTTTTGCAGAGCTTCAAATACTTAAACAGACCAATTCATAAAATTTTGCCAAAAGGGTAAGTAGAGGTTTTGACTAAAGACAACAAAAACAATTTACATTCTTGTTTTTTCATTAGGAAAATGTTTGCTGTCATTGGTGATACAAATTTAATAAAGATAGTGGATGAGAATTTAAATACTACGATCTACGAAAATAGCAAATCGGAAAATTTCGTGCGGGACGCAGTTTGGCGCGGAGATTCAAATCTTTTAACGGTTGGCTTTGAAGGCAGACTACGTGTACATAAGATACTGTAAAAGTTTAAAAAAATAAATTGATATTAAATTAAAATTTCTTACTATTATATATAATTCAGGGTAGAGTAGAGGAATATTATGGTCAAAACAGTAATATTAAAAAGTAATTGTATGCATATCCGAAAATTCATAATAAATCGTGTTATCAAACGGTATAAAGGAATATACGCATGTATTTTTAGGATATCGTACTAAAGAACTTGTATATACATTAGAGCGGGTCGACTTTTTTCCCCACAAAATCGTTTATGCGGGAAAATGTTCTACGGATCATTCTAAACAAATTTACTTAAGAGTCTTTGCTTGCTCGATACCAGTTTTAGATCCATAGTCTTTTAGGAAAGTTTGTTCTGAATGATCAACAGAACATTTCCTGGATATCGAATTTTCTTATTTTTTGGCTCTCTATGAATTAACCCGCCCTAATTTTCATATATAACGCAAAGAGCTGTGAAACTGCTTAGTACTCATAACACTAGTAATACCATGAAAAAAAATATCTGTTATTTTTTTTAGCTTTTCATGGTTATAATTCAATGTATTTTTTATTGGACATTTCAAAACTTCAACATATACGCATAATATATAAATAAAAAAATTAAAAAAAAAAACTTAATACAAATATCTATAGCAAATGTATTGGAACAATCAAAATGCATAAGAGAAACTTTGAGGAAAATTATCTACGCATCAACATAGTAATACAGAAGTTATGTATTTGTACCATGTACGTCACTAACTTTTCAACAATATACATTTAGTTCATCACAGACAAAACGCACTGTACTATTGATTCCGGTATGTCCAACGGTTTTTCACACAATTCACCAGTAACTTTATCCATCATGTAAATTTCGTTCACCACTTGATCTGCATTATCGGGATCTAACGTTGAAACGAGAACCAAAGAACCATCCGCCAAATCCATTAATATTTGTTGAATGTCACATTCGTCTACTTCTCGTTGCGAAATTGAAGATGGTGTGGGGGGCATTACATCCATTACCGCTAAATTTTCCTCTGTTCCTTGTAACGAATTCACTGTATTCACTGTTCCATCATCTAAATCGACAAATGTTTTATTTTCAACTTCTGCAAAAGAAGATTGTAAACAACTCTCTTTAGTTGGTGTTATTATCTCGTTTAGTGATTGTGATGCATCGCAGCTTGTCGGTGCTATAATGTTAATAAATTCCTCTGCCATTGCATCTAAGCTACTCATCATTTCTAAATTTCTTTCAACGTTTGTCAAGGGCATTTCAGCATTGAAGCAATTGCTTTCATTAGTGGGATGTTCTGCTTTAATCGTATAGTTTTGTGCATGTACAACCTCAAGTTTCACAGATGTGACATCATTTGACTGCGTTGCCAACGGCAGTGGGATACCTTCCGTCTGATTTGACAATATTTCCTTAGAATTATTTTGCAATACTCCGTGTTTTGCTTTCAGTTTGTGTTTTAGTTGTGGCGCTGCTTCTGTTCCATTGCTAACAGAAAGTGTTTGCTGAGTTTGTGAGGTTTTTGATTTTTTAGCGCTATCAGTATTTTGCTTGTCAGTAGCATTGGATCGACGACTAAGCTTTCGCTTAACAACATTTTCATTTTCATATATATCGTCTCCGTTTTTTAGCGCACGCGCCGCTGTACTACTGTTGATTTTTACCTAATTTTGAAGATACAATTTTTTATAAATTAATATGTAAATTACCTAGACAATACAAAACAAATCTTACAACCTTTTTAATGGTTTTGGCTTCTTTTTCGTGTATTTCCTTCCAACGCTGTATCGCTTCTTCACGCTCCCTTTCTTCAGTCTCTAACTGCGTCTTTAAATCATCGATGTTGAAAAGCTTTGGATACAACAAGGCCTTATTGATTAAGGCCAAATTATTACGTTCTTCTTTTTTGAACTTTAGTTTCAAATCCCTTCTAGTACGTTTGGGAAACAATTGGCACATTAGTGAAAAGTCGGTTCCTACCGTTTGCAGACATCGATAAAACTTTATAGTCTCTTCCGGTGGCCAATCTTTGGTTCGTTTTTGACGCTTATAGAAACCATTCATTCCGGTATTTTCATCAAGAAATATAAGCGATGAATTTGCCAACACTTTTCGTGCTTCTTGCTCTGCAGTGGTTTCAATCTCTAAAGTTTTTTCATCAAGTATTAGGTCTCCGTTTGCATTTAACTTTAGTTGTGGTACAGGCATAGCATTGTTTGCTTCATCATCTACTTCTACTTTTGAGTCTGCGGTTGCTAGCTTCGTATCATTTTCATCTATTGTAGGTTCTTTCTTAATGGTGGAAATTGTATTGCGCTTCTCCATAGGATTTGTGACAGGGTTGTAGTAGATTAAATCGAACATTTTTAATGACGATTTATCTAAATTACCGTTTACAATTCGCAACGAGACGTCACGCCTGGAATTATTACGAGTACTATGTTCGTCAGATTTACGAAGTTTCGATGTTGTTATAAAAGAATCTGAAAAGGCTGAACAATTAGATTCTGTGCGTATACGACTAAGCCCCATAGCAGGTGTGAATTTGTGAGGAGCATAATGATGTTGACTCATAACAGAGTTTGGAGTATGAGATGATTGAACCATTGAAGCTGAATAATGACGCTCTCTTCTATGCGTTAAAGGTTGCACCTTTTGTGAATTACTTGTTTCTAATGACTCTCCCACCATGGTTAATTTTGGATGATCTATTGGTATATCAACAGGCACTGCAAAAATATTTTTCAGAAAAGAGCAAATATTTATATATATTATAAGACAGAAAAACGGATATGATAACAGACCTATTCCGTCGTCTAATGAACTTTGTGAAGGACTGCCTATACCGACAAAACTATTACGTCTCGGGAATGTTGGAACTGGACGTATTCTTTGCCGCCCTTGTTGCTTTGATGGCAATGCAGCACAATCACTGGCAGTTTTTTGCATATCCGACTGTAAAATACTCTCCTCCATATCGGAGTAGAAAACATCATCGGTGCCGGCATTCCCACTAGGTTGATTATTACTGCGTATATATTCGACACGAGCGGGACATTTAAATGAAGAACTAGATTCTCCCAACTTATTTTCCACTTTATCTTGAAACACTTCATTAGTTTCATCATTTTCTGTAATTTTTTCGGATGATTTTTGCGCCGTTGATGTATTGACACATTTAGAATTTTGTTCTGTTGCATCATCATTTTGTTTATTTTCTATGTGTTCAGATGAAATAATTTCAGCCACTTTGCCTTCACTGTTATCATCAGTTGTATTTTGCACATCTGCAACATTTTGATCTTGAAGATTAGCTGTCTTAGTATTTATTTCTTCTGAACATTCAACAGTGGCAGGCTTTATTCCATTTTCCGACTTCACATCCCGAGATTTCCGTTTGGTCGTTAAAAGCGCAGCCGCTTTTATACGTGGTCGACGCATAGCCATGGTATAACACACTATTTTATGGCAGGCAACCGTCTTTAAGATCCTTTAAATTATTATCTTTCAATGCGTAAGCACCGACAAATATATAATATGCCAGCGGAGCACGTTGTGTAAATTGTGATTATTTAAAACTGCTCACAATTTCCGACGTTCTATTTTATCATGCAACAAATCGTGAGTATGAAACCTATACTTTTATACAACTTTTGTACCAAAATCCATTGCAATTTTGGACAGAAATGCTTTAAAATTATAGGTGTTCGTATGAGCATTATATTGTAAACATGGATTGACTGATTGATTGTGACTTTTTGCCAACAATGCAGAGAGATTTCGGAAAACAGGGCGACTAAAAACATATTTATTTAAATTGTCTGTTTTATTAGGCTGTTTGATTATGGTTCAAAAAATGTTAGTTTACTACAAGTTAATATGAATAATTACATAAAAAATATATAACTTAATGCAGTGATCCTAATTTGAACACATCTGAATTGTGGTGAAATATAGGCAGAACCAACAGCTCAAAGTTCTAGTAATGTTTGAAACACCTGTTTGTTTTCATTTCAGCAACTGAATTTGCGTTGCTTAAACTCAGCTGATTGAACTCTACAAATACTCTACACGTGCTTATTATTTTATCATGCATCTCTCCACATTACTTTTTATAACTTGTGCAATGCTATATGTTGTTTTCACAAAAACCTACCACATACAACGATAATTACTGCTAAATTTGTATATATAGACAACACTTAGTATTTATTGTATAAGACCATCGAGAAAAGTGTGAGTGCTTTATTTCTATATACGAAGCAACAAGTTTGATTGGAAATTATTTACGTCAAAAGTGGCATGGCATTAATGCCATTGTCATACATAAACTGGTGGAGTAAACTCGTACAAAATTCGAAATAAATCCATTAAAATTGTTGTTGCATTGTTATGCAAGCGACCGGAGTAGACTGAAAGAAATAACGTTGCCGGTACTAAGAACTAAATTCATGGAGCCTTCTAAACCAAAACAACGAAAGGTAAAAGAATAACAAAGTTAGTCACATGTCGGCAACAAAAGTAAGACCAACAACAAAATTTAAATCGCTAAAAATAAATTAAAAAATGTTTAGTCGTATTTTAATAAATATTAAGCATCGATCAAATGCGACATTACGCTCATGGTCGTACCAATGCGAATCAATTGTGGCGCAACGTTCACGTCGAATCCAACAGCTTTTTACCTTCTACCACCGCGTTTACGGTTCAAATGGTCTACAACGACTTTTTCGATCTTACCACAAGCAATTTGAACCGCCTTTAAGAGGTATTATGTTGAGCGCTGTAGGAGCTGTTGGCTTAAATATCAGTACAGCAATTGAAGCGGCAGGTTTCAATTGGGACAAAGAGCGCTTGAGCCTAAAAAATTTTGACCTTTGTCGGAGAGATCTTGAATTTTTAAATCAGTTGCCAAATAATGAATTATGTCCCTTATGCCAGGATAAACACATGAAATACTGTTATTGCTCAGTAGGAAATAAAAAGTGTAAATCATCTAAGGATGGACAAGAAAGTATGCGTAACTGCCGAGGACCACTAAATTTAAAAAGAGACTCTGTACCTGTAGGAAACAAACTAATAGAAACCGTTAGTGAACAGTTATGGGAACCATATTTTAGCAAGGATGAATTCTCTGTTTGGAGGCGCGAGGAAAGATCGACTATGTACTCCTATAAAGTGTACGCTCGCTTTGATGATGTTTCCGCCGAAGATCTTCTACATGTACAGACTGACTTAGAATATCGTCGACTGTGGGATGAAACTGCTATACAATTGAAAATGATAGAAGAAGATCCTCGGCCTAATACCAATTCACATCTTATCTATTGGGAAATGCAGTGGCCGAAACTTTTTTCCAATCGCGATTACGTCTACTGTCGTCGTTTTGTTAAAGACGAAAAACTTAATGTTATGATGGTTTGTAGTCGTGGTACGGAACATCCGAAATATCCGCTCTATTCGAACAAAGTTAGAGTTAACGATTATTGGAGTTTGATGGTTATAAAACCATATGAAACATTCAGTGAACCCGGTGTGCATTACATACTTACATATTTCGATGATCCAGGTTTACCAATTCCACAAAATATTAAATCATGGGTAACTCAGAAACAAATGCCTGAATTTTTACGTAAAATGTATCTTGCAACAAAGCAGTACTCATACAAACGGTCACTCGAAATGCAACACATTTTTAGTATATCAAACTTTCATTTACAAAGTAGCGAATACTTGGCGAACGAATCCAGGACGAGTTGGTTTAAGAAAATATTACGCACCCGTGAACCAGGGAGGGAAAAGTAAGGCTATACCTACAATAGTGCTTTTTGTTAAGAAAAAAGAAAAATAATGTTTATTTTTTGAAACGAGAAGTGATAATGCTTTTAAAATCGAATCGGTTTACATATATAACAATTGTTACGGTAAACTCCAGTGCAAGAAACTTGATTAACTGGTATCGATTGAAAAGTTTCACTATTTATTAAGGGAAGTTTGGTAAACTAATGGATTTACCGTAATCCATATTCAAATTATAATAATGTAAAAGTATATTTTAAATTAAAAATGCAAAATATTCGAGCAATAAAAGCATTTTGGTAATTTAGAAATTCTATTTCGTTTAAGACGAATGTATGGTACTCTGAGGAACTAAACAACACAACGTTGAAGAATTTCAAATCATTTACAAATACGCATAGCGGGCTACATATGTATGTGTATATATTTGAAACTCATTCAGACAAAAGGCTGAACATCTAATTTTCCGTAGATATAAACCTAGCCATTCAATTCAGAAAATATGTTCTAATAAACATTGGAAAATAAGTCGTAGATAAATCGATTAAATTTAGTAAAAATTATTATTATTTCTAAAATTATAACAATTTATGTAGGTATATACATATGTAAATGCATGCGTTATTACAAATTTATAAAACAAAGAACACCTCTAATACAAAGTTACAATAAAAAAATAAAATGCATTTACCTATACATGAACGGATTTTTACTTAATTACAATTAGATATTTTGAGTTATTTAGTATATTAAATTGCTTGCTTTATAAATATATTCAGTTTTTCCCCTAAAAATTAAGATCCAAAGTAAACAAGCTCTTTATTTTCAATTCAAAACGTGTCTATATCAAATTTATTTCCACGTACATGAGACATATTGTATAATTTAGTATTTTTTGATATTTTGAATTAAACAAGTAAATCTACTACTTTGAGAAGGTAACATTCTGATACAAAATTGCCCGCTCTACAAAAAAATTTGATGCAAAACTTTATTTCATTCACATATGTACATTTGAAATTGTTATAAATTCTATGTACAAAATAAAAAAAAATTTCGGTTTCTTAAATGCAACGGAAATTATTTATATTTTTTTCTAACGTTAATTATACAAAAAGTTCCATAACCCTAAATACAAACCTACTTAATTAATACAATACTTATGTATGAATTTGTATGAAAAATTTATGGATACAATATCTTATTTCTTTTTTCTGTCTTGCGTACACTTCGGACAAAACCATTTTCCTTTTGGTTTAGTTGTAAGTCCTACGCAGGCAAAGTGGAACCATTCAATTGGACACTGGAATATCAAAAATATATATAAATGAAAAGAAAGGTAGGAAAATTTTTGGATATGTTAAAACTTACATCCGGATTGTCACAACCAATCATTTCGCCATAGGATACTTGGTGACACAAGCAATAAGTGGGTTCATTAGGATCAACTGGCATATCCAAGACATCGCTTGGGTGTGTTGCAGCCGTCAAGCATGACTCTTTCTCAGAGTCCTCAATATCAGCATTTTTCTTTGAAAAATATTTTTAATATATTAGTAAAAGGTAGAGTATTCTACATAAATTCAAGATTTATATTTGTATTTTTGTTTTTTTAATGAAAGTATGCAGTTTGTGAAATGCAAAGTAATAAGCCATAAGATGAATATTTCATATAAGCATACAAAAGTATTTCATATATGTACATATATGTATGGAAAGTATTATTACATTTAAATAAGAAAACATCAATACAAGTAAATTATTGATACATACATCATACTCGGTCATTCGGATATTTATATACCAAATATATGATAAATTCGCTACAAAAAGGAATGCTTCTTATATATACATAATTATGTAGATATTATGTATTTAAGGTTTATATAAGCTTATATTGCTTTAAGGGGTTAGGAGTATTACTTTGCAGATTTCAATGAAATTTGTACAGTTTTTGGAAAACATGGAAAACTATTACCTGCGCTTCTGTTAGAACTGGAGCAGCACAAGTGGCCAATACTTTAATACCATTGTTTTTCAAGTAACTGTCAAAACCTGTCTTAATGATGCTATGTTTTTCCATATATAAAAAAAAAAAGTTTACTGACAAAAATATTATTCAAAATTTTAATTTTTTCACCTAACACCTAACCCCTTATTTAAAAGGCATAAAATACCAAGCAGTCATTCAACTACTGAAGATCGTCTATATAATGTTATATAGAAATAACTTAACAACGTTTAATAAACATAGAAACATTGGAAAAATTTAAGCAAGAATTAACGATAGTACTTTAACGTAAATATGCGAAACAAATTTAACTTTTAATCACTCGTTACTACAGTTTTATGAGAATGTGAATATGATTTTGATGATTACCTTTTGACCCCCCTTGCGAGTTTCTTTTTCTTGATTTACCTTCGCCCTTTTCTTTTTGCTACCTTGTCCACCTCCACTACCTCCGCCGCCACTACCACTTGTTGAAACATTTGTGTTATTTGCACGAGTTTCCTCATCAGATGAGCCGGTACGTTTACGCTTTCCAGGCGTTTTCGCGTCCTTTGTTTTCTTCCGCCCCTCTAATATTTGCGTAAAAATAGCAAAATTCCTTTTTTACAAATGTATTTACTTCCTTACTTTTTACTACTGCTTCTTCCGATTTGCTACGTGTCGATGATGCTTTTTCCTGTATTTCACCCTCAAATCGAGCTAAATCATTGTCGAGACGCCTAATTTGTTTATCCACCAACTCATATGTTTGTATGGCTAATTGTACTTTGTCATCACTGTATTCCTTTGCCTTACCAAATAGTGCTTGTATGTCCATTAGACGCTCTTTGCGTTCTTCATCTGTCATAGAACAGCCTCCATTTGCTGCCAGTTTATGCATGAACTCTTTCGCTCTCGAATCGATGCTTTTCATTGCAGTCTGTGCTCGATCGTCTAATTTGCGCATAAGTTTGAAGTTTCGTTCCAACTCTGTAGGCAATGACTCTAATCCTGGGTATAAAACATAAAGTTTAGTCATAACTGATTCCAAAGCTTAAATAAAAGCATCTTTTAATTTTAGATGCTTCTACACTTTACATACCATCAAGGTAATTTTCTAAATAAATTGCCGAGGACATTTTTATAAATCACAAATTTATATAAAAACGATGCTGGTTAGCGAAAATAAATAAAGTTTTCACGTTTTTAGTAGTTTGGAAAATCTAGTTTTGACAAGTGTTAATGGTAGAAGATCAGATGGAACATAGCAGTGAAAAAGAAGAAGTTTATAATTTTCATTCACAACAAATTTTAAATTCATTATCATTTTAAATAAATCATTTTCACAATAAGATAAGGATAAATTGCATTCATCGTATATAAGTAATAGAGAGAATTTGCCCTGAAAGTAAGAAAAAAATATTTTTCGACTGAAAATTTTAGCATACTTTTCAAAAAACCACCGAAAAATGAGTTGGCAACAATGAGCCCCATCATGTAATGAAAACGTCAAAAACAGAAATTGACAGTGAATTTTGTTTTGAGAACAGTTCAATAAATTCGTTTGTATTGTGTTAAAGTGTTTATCAGTGTTTAGTTTGCGTTTCTGTTTTTGTCTTCACCGATGTGCATATAATTAGTAAAAATACCTTTCTAGCGCTCGACACAAGTAGTCGCATAAAGACAATTATAGGAAAATAATAAGTTTATGTCTTCTCATATCTTGCGCTATAGAAATGGTCAAAGTGTAATTAAAAATTAGTTGTTTCAAAAAACGTATAAACCATTATATAATAAAAAACCAGTGATAAAAAACTAAATGCAATCGATTCGACTCCATTTCTTTGCAATCTGATCAAATATGAACGCTTTTGAAAACTAAGCTAGTTTTCCATAACGTAATAAATGTTTACATTAATTGCATTCGGTGCAATAAATACATAGTTTAACAGAATAGCTCACTAATAATTCACTTAAATGAAAAATTAAGTAAATAATAAAGTAAACTGGTTTAAAAGTGTAATATATTCTTTGAATAAAATACTATATCATTAATATTTTGTATTTAAATATACCGCCAAATTGGCTTCGCAAAGCTCTTTCCTCGATATTTACATCATGGCCTGGGAACATGGTAGCTCTCCGGTGGATTGGTGCGAAGGAAATTACCTGATATCTTCAAATATAGCAGAATTCGTGAATACGGTACGTCTGTTTACATAAGTTATTAAGTAATAGTGATCGCATGCATGTATGTAAGTAATAATATCTCTACATCGGAAACGGAATCGGAAATGTGACTTTGAACTATTTCCGTTTAATAATATAATAGGTATCTGGTGTTTGTACTTTAAATTACCAAATCTAAGTAAACATCAATGTATTTTTTAATGTAATAATTCATATTTAGTTTTTCAGTAAAACTCTAATTATGGACAGAAAAAATGTGTATGTAATATGTTGTAGTTGATATTGTTGTTGAGTGGTAGAAAACATTCTTTAAATATGTGTGAGAAATGATGTCGTCTTAACAGAACTTAGCCGGATGATAATACTTATTCGTTACTGTTAGTGATAACCAATTCTATTGAAAATAAAATATTTGCTATAACTTTTTGGTAAATACATAAATATGATTGTGTACTCATTAGCTAAGTGATCCGAAATAATTTATTACAAGGTACTTTACGCACTTGTTTTTATACATACATATGTAAGATATCTTAATAAAACTAAGCGAGAATACTACATTACTATAAAATAATTCACCTATTAATAAATATTAATCTACATTTATTATATGACAGATAATAATCTTTTATGGGTGTATCGAAATATTTCACACTTTTTTAATTTTACAATGCAATGTTACAATCTTTAGCCTCACCTACCTGTTTTTCAGTTAATTTTCCTAATCTCTACAGCAATTTATTATTTTCAGAAATTGTTGAACAAATTGTTGTTTATATATTTTGTTGTTATCAATCTTTCCCTTTTATATAAATATATATGTACATACACTGATGGCAGAAAAAATAGGGACAAACTCATTAACTTATTTTAAAACATAAAAAACATAATTTTGGATCACTTGTCACTGTGCACCGATGCTTGATGACCGTACTTTCGTTTTCCGATTATTATTTTTAAAATATCGGCGTAAAAACTAATTTTTTTAAGTTGACAGCGTTTTCAGTTGGTACAAATAATAGGGACAATCACCTAAAATTTTTTTAAAGAGTAAATATCACAACAAAAAATGTATAAATAATATCCTGGGTATGAAATTTGATAACAATAAGAAAAAAATAAAATATGTTGCGTGTAGAGCATTGCAACCCTTCTAAATAGAAAACTATGCTGAAAAATGCAAGAAGTATCATGTTTTGAATTCATCTATGTTTTGAATTAATCAAGATTTTCTGACATGTTTTGATTCGAAATTTTACTTTTTAAACAAAATTTACAATGAGCTCAAAACGCTATCAACTTGAACAAAGTACCATTTATCAAATTCTGGAAATAATAGACGGAAAACGAAATAAACAAACAGTACTGTTATCAAGCTAAAAGCTACATATGTTCATAAAAAGTTTTTTTTTGGCTTTGAAATAAGTCTATGGGTTTGTTCTTATTCTTTCTGCCACCTGTGTATATATGTAAGTCTTCATATATACACATGTATGTACATATAAGATAAAATGCTAGGGCGCTGAACTTATTTACCAGAAGTTGCTAAATAAATCATAAACGCAACAAAGAAAGTTTTTCAAATACATAGATACAACTTGAAATACGCAATTAAAATTTATGACATGATAAATACATTATTCAGAACAAAAAACTGCGTATTGTAAAGTATACAGTTAACAGGGACTACATTTTACATATATACATATGTACGTTTGTATGTCTTTGAACTTGCTCATGGTTATTCTGCGTGTTAAATATGTATGTACATTTGCAAAAACATAAATACGTACAACAAAATTGCAACTTTAGTACATATAGTAAAATAAACAAAAGTTTTAACTACTTTTAACGCCAATATTTCAAAATATGTATTGTTCAAGACTGCACTATATTTTTCGGGTAGTCGAAAAAGTCTTTTCGCATTTCTAACCAAACTTCAACTTATATTATTTATACTAATAAATAAATAAATAAATATGTACCATTGTTGCCATTTTTCAAATGTTCCAGAACGGAAGCGGGCGAACCATTGTTATGCTACATGAACTGATACAGCATCGTCTCCGTAAACTTCACACATTTCATTGGTGGCTTGCGTGGCATTCTTCTCTTTTTTATACAAAAATTTCAAAATAAAGCGAATTTCTTCATTATTTTCACTCATTTTTGAACAGCTGTAACTTTTTTCAACTTCCCCGAATTTTATTTTTTATGGTTAAATAAAGCTTACAATCTTACCTTTCCAACACTATAGTTATGGTTTGTTATTGGTAACACTAGAGATATACGACTGCAACTACATCTATTGACAAAATACGAAAAGACTTACTAATATTATTCAGATCGGATCACAAAAGTGTATAGTTTCCTTACAAACTGAAATGGATAACTTTTTTATTTAAAACTGATAATATATTATATTACACTTCTGCCAACGTTTTTTCCAATCTTCAAATCGATGAAGTTTTTATCTCTTCAATCGTAGCGTAGCGTCCTCCTTTCTTGAACTTCTTTAGTTTTGGGGACAAAAAAGTCATAGGGTACCAGTGTAATGTGTTAACCCGACGGGGTGTTTGGTCAAAACTCAGAAAAGTCAGTCACGCCGATGCGACTCATACCAAAATCATTGTTTGTAATCGGACGGCACGAGTCGTTCCTCAATAATTTCTCTAATAGACATTCGACGATTGGCCAATACTATTTTCTTCACTTTATTAACGTGTTCGTCTTTTCTTTCCGTGCTCGGATGCCGACAAGCTTTCGTGTCTATTTTTGTTTCGGTGTGCGCATACTGTCTTGCAATCCTTGGCGCAACATGGTGACCTGCCGAGTCTGCTCCATGTCATGAGGAACGCAAGGAAGGCTACGTTAAATTGTATACGGATTTACCTCCTAGCTGCAATTAGGAGGTGGAGATGCGGCTCTTGGTTGCCGCACGTATGCACCCCCTAGCAACCCATCTGAGAAGTGCTTTAGAGAACCACTCACACCGGTTGAGAGGGACAAGGTACCTACCAATCCCAGGATATATAGTATGTTTGAACACATGTTCTTATATTAGCTGTTTCAATATTCAAAGTATGTACAAAGCATTCACATTTTGGAGGACTTAAAAAAATCCAGTAAATATCTGGAATTTGTTATCAACACCATTAATGCCTGCCTTACCGTCCGAAAGGTCAAAAAGCGATATTTTCTTCTATTGGAGCCTTGGAGTTTAACAAAATAAGATTGGGTGTAAACAGGTAATATATAAATACCTGTGTATTTATGCAATGATAGACATACACCTTACCACGTTCCGGGATTATTAAAAATGTTCGTAAATCCTTTTATAATCAGTGAATTTTTAGTTATAAATTTGTTATCTGCTACTAGTCGTTTATTAGAGCTCCACGCTCATAAATCATTTCAAATCCATATATAAAGTTATTAATCGATGCGAAGGCATGTGTGCAATTAACTATAAATGGGATAGTGAGGGTATGTGTGCATATACTATATATAATACTGGCAAAATGGCAACATAGGTTAAGGGGTTAGGTGGTTTTCAGAGGTACAAAAAAAAAGGTATTTTTACGATTTTTTTTTAATACAAGCAATCATATATTTGAAAAATATAATATGTTATATCAAAGGTATATATTCGAACAATATCTCCTGAAATTTCGATACAAAAATGTTGAAAATTCCGCCGTTGAGACCGCATTTCCCTGGGTGTCTCTCAAAAAAGTGCTCTCGCCGTGGGCAGCATAACTTAGTATTGGTTCATATAAAATTAAAAACTAAGCATATTCTGTTAGTACATATCTAAATCTCGTTTTTGAACGTAGGAAATAAAAAAATATTAAAATTGTCGTTCTTTTCTCGGACTTTGAACAAAAAATCTCATATTATACAATACGAACTAAATCGGTCGATAACTTTTTGAGACCGACTTCAAAAACGCAGCTTCGAGAAAAACGCGTTTAAAGACAGGGCACTTAGCACAGCTAGCCTAGCACAAGTTCTCAAGGCTGTACCTCCGAAATTATTACTCAGATCAACTTTA